ACAGAGATAGCATGGAAGGATGGATGTCAGATCCATTCTCCTACATGTCCGTAAATTGTTTGAGGAATAGGGAAGGACTCAACGATATGAGATATCCAAGAGCCTCTTCCGCGCTATGATGACTGAGGGGACACCGGTTCAAAATTATATCCTAAAGATGATTGAGTGGATAGAGAAACTCATAGAGTGTAGGAATGATCCTAGATGTGTGGATCTTATGCTTCAGTCCCTACCAGATTCCTTTTCACAGTTCATAATGAATTTTAATATGAACAAGCTTGAGGTAACTCTCCCAGAGCTCCTCAATATGTTGAGGGAGGTAGAGAGCACTATCAAGAAAGAGAAGTCATTTCTCTATATTGGTAAGACCAGAAAAAAAAAAAAAGGAAAGCAGAAAAGTCCCTTAAGAAGGGCAAGGACAAGGGCAGATCGGGTAAAACAAAGGTTGGTAAGAAAGGCCCAACAAAGAACAAAGGCTAATGCTTCCACTATGACAAAGATGGGCACTGGAAGAGGAACTGCAAAGAGTACCTTGCAGAGAGGGCGAAACAAAAGCTTGGAGAAGCTTCAGGTACATTCATGATCAGTCTCTATTTATCAGACTTTTATGATAATGCATTGGTATTAAATATCGGTAATGCTTATCATATCTGCAATTTGTTGTAGATTCTGGCAAAGCCTTGGAGATTGTCTAGAGGAATATTACATAATAGTTTATTTATGCTAGACACCGCTCCATATATTATGAATGTAAGTGTGTCCAAGAGGAAACGAGATGAGGTGAACAGTGTATACCTGTGACATTGTAGGCTAGGTCACATCCATGAGGGAAGGATTCAAATGTTGCTAAAGGATGAATATCTAGATCCATTAAACTATGAGTCATATGTAACTTGCGAGCCTTGCCTTCTTGGAAAACTAACCAACTCTCCTTTTAGTGGAACTAGAGAGAGAGTCATTGATCCGTTGGAACTCATACATAGTGATGTATGTGGACTCATATCAACTCATATCATTGGTGGTTACTCCTACTTCATTATCCTTACTGATGATTTCTCAAGGTATGAACATGTGTACTTAATGAAGTACAAGTCCAAAGCCTTTGAGAAATTCAGAGAGTATAAGAATAAAGTGAAGAACCAGACTAGAAAGAGTATCAAGACTCTTCGATCAGATCGAAGAGGTGAGTACTTTAGTATAGAGTTCACACAGTTCCTCAAGGACCATGAGATTCTATCCCAATGGACACATTCTTATACACCTCATCTCAATGATGTATCTGAAAGGAGGAATTGTACACTGTTAGATATGGTGCAGTCCATAATAAATTTTACTGACCTACTCATCTCATTCTGGGGATACGCCATAGAGATCGTAGCTTACCTTTTGAACAGAGTTTCAACTAAATCGGTAGTGTCTAAACCATATGAGATATGAAAAGAGAAAAAGCCTGATATTAAGGTTGTTAAGATTTGGGGCTGCCCTACCCTGTTAAAAGACACATCCCCGATAAGTTGGAATCGAGGACGGAGTGGTGCAAGTTCATGGGATACCCCAAGAAAATTTATAGGTATTATTTCTATCATCCCGAGGACCAAAAGATCTTTGTAGCTAAGAGAATGGTGTTCCTTGAGAAGGAACATATTCTTTACGGAGACAGTGGGAGCTTGATAGAGTTGAGCGAGGTTGGAGAACCTAGTACACAAGTTATGACTTTACGTAGGTCCGATAGAATATCTCATCGTCCTGAGAGATATATGGGACATATTAGAGGAGATAATGTTAAGGATATTGATCCTTAGACCTATGAGGAGGCTATTACGAGTATAGACTCTAGGAAGTGGCAAGAAGCCATGAATTCTGAGATGGATTCCATGTACTCCAACAAGGTTTGGAACCTAGTTAATGCACTTGAGGGTATTATACCCGTCGGTTGTAAGTGGATCTTCAAGAAGAAGATCGGAGTAGATGGAAAGGTAGAGACCTATAAAGCAATGCTAGTGGTTAAAAAGTATCGTCAAAGGTAAGGTGATGATTATGATGAAACCTTCTCGCTCGTAATCATGTAAAAATTAATCTGAATTCATTTGACTATTACATAACACTATGAGATCTAGGCTATGGCTGATAGACGAGTTTTCTTGTGGTGTGTGTCGAAGAGGATGGATTTGGCGTGTCGTTGGGGTTGTTCAGGTTACAGCTTCAACAGGTGGTCTGCATGTTGGTGTTCTGGCGTTGTGAACAGGGCCTGCATGCAGTTGTGTTGATGCAGCAATATCTACTTGAATCAAACCTTGTGTCTTGTACGAAAGATGAAATTAATTTGGTTGATGCTATCTACAGTCATCACTCCACATATTTACTGCAATCTATGGTAATGCTTCTTCTTTGTATCCCAACTTTGATCTCTCTAGGTTCCTCCTCACTCCAAACTGGTGCATCAAATTTAGAATTTGGAGCATGACAAGCCAGTGTATAATTTGCTCACACACACAAATTGGTTTTTAGAATGTAAATTCTCTTATCGATTGATACGGTCGAAGAGAGAGTAGAAAATGATGAAAAGCTTACACTTTCCTACTATTTGTCCAAACATACCTCGAAAAGATAGATAGTGAACATAAATAAATCTTAGAAAATGATAATAGAGGAAAAAGAATATGAACCCTCAAGACTATAAACTTGTACTTATTGCCAGTCTCTCACAATCTCTCTCTAAATTTTTTAGCCTCTTTTAGTTTTACTGTATCTTTCTTTCTTTTTCACTTGAATACTTCAACCAATTCGAGGGCTCATATCTTTTTAAAGATTTTAGGTCAATCTCATATCTAATCATAAAATTTAATTTAATATTCCGACAATATTCAATATCAACCGCATATGTTTCAGGCTTTCAGCTATTGAAAGTTGGAGCTTCTTAAACTCATAACCTAGTGATATGTATCCGAGATCTCTTGCGGCTGGTTGAGTCTCGTCATGACATCTGATAGATGATAGAGTTTATGTATACCATGTATTGCTGCATGACAGAAAACCTGGAACCTATTGGCCATAAAACCTTGGCATGCATCAGTATCTAATTCTCAGTTTCTTAATCCAGTTTGCGATAAGCTTACATGGAGTTTGTTGTTCAGCTTCAGACACTAATATTACTATAATTCTATTCAAGAGAATCTGGATGAGTAGTACTTGATGATCTTTTACACAAATGACTTGCCGATGCAAGAAGCTTTCAGTCTTGAGAGGAGCACTTGTCTTGCACACTACAGAATGCAATTCCTGCAGTTCAAGCAAAAACTTTCTTGAAGTGTTTCACTGTCATGGATTCCTTCAGCCAGTGATGAATTCTTAGATATCTTCAAGGCACCTGAATCCAAATACTTCCCAGTGTGGTTGAACCTTTGATCTAAAATTTGCACTTTGGAGCATGCATTCATGAGTACCTAAACCCCTCTTCTTATTGGAATTACATTGCCAGTGCCAACTGCAACTGCAACTTGTTTCATCTCCATCTCCGACATAGTCATGTCCTGCAGATTTGTGGGATCCAAATAGGTCTAGTTTTAGTGAATGATCAGTGGTAAGTACAACACATTCTCCAAGTCAAGCATTGCACCATTTTTATCTGGATTTTCCCTATCCAGGCTGCAAGAAATTGTGATTGAACTCTGTCAGGATAATTACTACACTGCATTGCACAGAAGAGGGCCTAATTGGATATCAGCATAATAAGATAAAAAAAAATCTAAAAAACCTTGTTTGGTAAACCTCAAGTTATTTGGGAACTGATCCCACGGAAGATTTGCTCAGCAGAATGGAGAGAGAGAGTCTTTTGTCAGTAAGCCAGAGATACAAAAAACTAAAAGCCTAACCCTTTGCCATTGTTCTTTATCTGAATCTAATTTTGTCATAATGCTAGATCACATAAAAATAGTTTAAATCTGGATTTCTCTGCCTCTGTAAGCTTAGAACTGATCAATATAGAACTAAAAAAAAGAAAAGATAAACGATGTGAATTGCTTAAAAATTCTACAATTTTTTACTCAGATCTCAAGGATGAAAAAAGATCAAATAGCCGCATTATGAGAATATATGGAAAGAATTCAAAAAAAAAAAAAAGCTACTGGATCCGGCAATAATTCTGCTGCAATTTTCAACAGCAATTTCTTCACATAAAAGCTTAAAGATGCTGATGAGAATGGAAAGTGATCCACCGAGTATGAAAAGGTCAGAGATGGTTCAACTGCTGGACTACTTTTTCTAGCTCCATGTGAGTCAAATAGTGTCCTAATCCAAGCTTTGTTTGATTGATACTAGATACTAGAAAACTTTGACAGAAGATTGCTTTTGTGTGAAGTCATTATGTAACGAAATAATCTTCATGAAGTGATAAACTATATTGCTCATCTCATAGGCTCAATAAATAAATCAAAAAACCTTTGAAAGGAAAAAAAAACTCAAACCTTTTCTTCCCATATTCTCTCTTTTCTTTTTCTTTCTTGCATGAGTTTTTAGTTTCACATGTAATAGTAAAAAAGTCTACCTGTCTTGTATTAACCGCCTCTCATCTAATCTAAATGATATGCTATGCAATAATATTATTGTCTAAATATTTCATGATATTAAAAATATAAATCAGATAATAATACATGTCTTATTTACTGACCGAAGTTTTTAGATGCAGTGATAGTAATAAATATGACAATAATCCATATCAAGCATGTAGAATCAATCCTATGCAAACCTTTTTTCTTTTTTTTTGCAAGAAGAAAAACTAATATTTGATGAGTCAAATGATTATAGCAGACTCCGTTAGTATCAGTGCGAATCAAAAAAATTAAAATCAAGAGATAAGTTATCCTACAAAAACAAAATCTGAAATGTGTCTACTAACAGAATTAGGAAACCATTTTACAGGTACGTTTTCTTCTCTAAAAAAATGAAATATAAATAAACATATCCAAATTACTCAAATCAAATTCCGATGTTGCAAATTTTCCACAGGACAAAACCCCAATTCTTTGGTCACAACTCCTGTCCTAAATTACACACCCAACCATCACTCAACCTTTTTAGTTAGCCTTCCTTCTGAGTGGGAGTGTGGAAAAAGGCTGGACTTTTCCTTCCCAACCCGCAAATGGCGAAGCTGATGCAAAGCATCCGCCTTTTGGTCGCCCTCGTCCTCCTCGCCCGGGCTGCCGCCGGAGAGGCGGGGGCCGAGCTGCCGCTCGGCTGGATCCCCTCCTCCCTCTCCGGCTGCCGCGGCACTATCGCGGAATGCCTCGCCGGGGAGGAATTCGATCTCGGATCTGAGGCAGGCCGCCGCATCCTCGCCACCTCCAGCTACATCAGCTACGGCGCCCTCAAGCGCGACACCGTGCCTTGCTCCCGTCGCGGCGCCTCCTACTACAACTGCCGCCCCGGCGCCCAGGCCAACCCCTACTCCCGCAGCTGCTCCGCCATCACCCAGTGCCGCGGTGGATGAGAGAAAAGCCAGAAAAAAAAAAGGAAGGAGAAGAACCAATTTGGTATGTATTTGGTCACTCTGTTCGAGGTTTAAGTGATTGGTGTTGTGTGTCATGAAGCCATTGTTGTAGCAGATTTACTATTTGGTTATAATTCTACTTTTTGTTTCCTTTTAATGCATCTTTCAGAAAAGAATTGATGATTAAGACTTAGACTTAGTAGTTTCCTGGAAGATATCAATAATTTATGTGTAATTGAGATGTTCTGCCTTGATCTTTCATAAGCTCTGTGTTGTCATTTATGAAGCCATTGTTCTAGCAGTGTTGCTATTTAGTTATACTTCTGTACTCTTTCCTTCCGATGCATTTTATCTCTGCAAAAGAAGACATTTTTCAGGAAAAGATAGATGATTTAGTCTATGTGGGTTTTATGTGTAATTGAGTTTGATCTTTCAATTTGATGTTCATCAGGAAGAGGTGGGAGGGAAGAGGAAGGGGGGGGGGGGGGGGAATCATTAAAAGTTGATCTGTTTAGAATTTATGCCTAGGAAATGATGATATGGAGCTTTGATTGTTGGTAATACAGTGAGATTGGTGGGGGAAATAAATGCTTGTTTAAGGGTAATGGAGTTGAATTATTGGTGATATTGACCTTTGGTAGTTGGTTGTCCCCCCTCACTGTTGTTCTTTGGATGGAAGAGAAGGATGACAGATGGAGTGTCAATGGGGAGAAGAGAAGCCCAAAGGATCATGGCATTTATAAAATAATCATGAAATTACTGGTCTCTTATGGCTTTGATAGGATAGGTCATGTGAAATTTAGAGAGAGAGAGTAAATTGGCAAAGATTTGGCCATGTTTACTACAAGCAATCTCTTTGAAAGATAAGCTTTCTATGCATAAATGGATTGATGATAATGCAGAAGAGACTAACAGGACTATAAAAAAAAAATTTACATGACAATTTTACACCCTTCAGTATTTATTGTGATGTTGAACAATTCAAATATAGTGCTTTATATGTCTAGGAACAGAAAGCATAGTAGCAGAATTCAAAGTCCTTGTTCTGTTTTTGGTTTACTCCACCCACAGTCCCCATCTCTTAGGTTATATATTGAGGCCAGTTCTAACTTTGAACATGGAAGGTGGTGAAGAAAAGAAAGATGCTTTTCTCAACTAGAAAGAAGAAGCCTTACTGATGCAGCTGAGTTTTCATATTAGTAATTCCTGTTTTCATGCCCAAATAGTGTTGCCAAGACAAAAACTATATAAATGTTGCTGATGCAACTATGATTTTTCATGCTATTGATTCCTATTCTTGTTGTCTAGCTTTCAAAACCAACTTAAATGCCTGATTTCTACTATCAGAAATTAGCTACACATGCTATTAAAACCTTCAGAGCAGGACCATTCATTCATATGATCAATAATGTTTCCAATAAAATAATCTTGACTAGTAAAACATTAAAATCTATTTGGTTCCCTGTATTAACTGTCTACTTCAACTTTTTATGAGGAAAGAAGAGATTCTGTTCACCCATAAGCCATGGAAGATGAGAAGGGGTCCAAAGAGACTTCCAGATGATTGTGGCAGACAAATGATCAGTTGTGTCAAGTGTCACTTTTGGGTTGTTGCCCTCCCAAAGATGGCATTTCTGGTGGGGATATCACCTATATTTTAAGGCATTTATGACCTACCAAGGTCAATAGGACTGACAGATACAATCATAGGACCAGAAACACATCATCCATAAAAGACCCATATAAACCGACAACGGCAGCTATACGAACCAACCAATTAGCAAGTCCCATCAGCTACCAACAGTGACACTGCAACGATAGTGTCCTTTTAGACACACGCTGATTTATTGTCTAGATTTTGTGTTATCAGCGATTTGTAAAGGAGGAACAAAGGACAAAAGAAACTCATCTTGATTTGTTTTGGTCTCTATCTTGAGATAAGTGTTCGGTGGTGATCATAAGGGAGGGGTTCTATTTTTCTTGTAAAAGCGAACCTGGTCATGCGTTCTTGTTTTTGTTCCTAATGCAGAAAGTTGTAACAAAAGGAGTTTATAATTTACAGAAATCTCTCTATACAAAAAATAAGACAATAAAATTTTACCAAGCAGCTTCAGTATTAAATTTGATGTATTAGATCTGCACTAGATCACTGAATCAACTGGGGACCATCTAATGTGGTTAAATCTGGTCATGCTGGTGATTCCTCAGGTGTTCCCTCTAAGCCACCAATTAATCTTCCTTGTTAGATCTGGGTTAGACTCCATAAGATCTAAGGGGTTCATGGCCTGTACCGACACGAACGAGCAATCACAACAAATCATAATATCACAAATAATATTTGAGATCAGTTACATAAGTCTTTTTGTTGCCATTCAACTTCCTAAAAAAAAGGTGCCACTAATACAAGAACAAGAGAACAAACATGAAAAAGAAATCAGAATTCAGCGTTGTTGTCTGGGAGCCACCTGAAGGCCTTTCTGTGAACAGTAAGTTGATTGTACCACCCATTACTCTTTCAGACACATGTTTGGTAACTTCTGTTGGCTTTCTCTGCTTCTTGTCAAAGTTCCATCAATGTTCTGTGAAGTTGATGTTTTTTACCTTGTGCTGTTCCAAACATCTTCTGACAATTAATTTTTATTCATTAGTTTTCTTTTTTCTTTCATTTAGAGTTTCTTTGATCTTTATAGAGTTGGTTTAGATGGCATGTCATGACACTGGAATCTTTGACAAGTCTAACAAAAGTTGATACTTTTGCAGATTAATTTTGCTAATCATAGATGTCAAATAAAGGTCTAAAGTAAAATAGAGCTAAAAATGAACTGTTATCACTTACCTTTCCAACTAATTTTGTTTTGTTCTCGTTGAAGCTAAGAAACCAGAGCTTTTCTTTGTGCACTGTAATTGTGCTTTAACTAATATCACCGGTTATTTCAGTCAAATGTGAGTCTTTGCGTTGTGAATCTTTGTTTCTTTGTCACTCATTCATGTTTTTCAACAGTTTCGAGCTGCCGTATTGGTGAAAATATCATGCACTGATCATCTTTCATCACAAGCTTTCACGCGTAACACCATGCCCTTACAGATGCTCCAAGTCAATTAATTCCTCTTTGGTAACTCGCCTTCAATGTCATTCCATGTTGGGTAGGTTAAACTAGAAATAAACGCACTAGTCTATCTTTGGATGATTCAAATCTTGTTGGGTTTCAGTATCCAATGCTTGACTAAGTAGCCATTTAACGAATAATTTTAAATCAAAGAATTTAAAGCTTGAATCCACAAGCAAAACATACCTGGTCGCTAATTTGAAAACGAGCAGTCATCTACAACGGCGAGGAACCAAATGATTGACGAGTTGAACTGTTTATGGCCGACCCACGGAATCGCAAGGTTTTGGTTGGTCGATGTGGGACTTTAACAACCATATCACACACCAAAAATCATCTTGAGCTGAAGCATGAACGGTCGATAGATCGAGAGCTGAAGTTTCTTCTTCAGTGCTCCAACCTTCGATTTCTCGTTAAGAAGGAGATCATTAACATGAGGAAGGGATTAGCATTTCCCCATCTCAACACGGTTTCCCTTGACAATGGTTTCTTACACGGCTTGTAATCCAGCAGCCAGCAGTAGCCAGTCTCGTGAGTCTAAATAAATAATAACTAAAAAAAATTAAAATTAGCAGATGAATCATCTTCAATTAAAATGGATGTTTATCGTGCGCTCGTTTGATGCGTATAAAAAGGCATCATGAGCTTCTACCCTCGTCAAAATTTGGGCTACATCCACGTGGTCAAAAGCTGGGAGGCCACGGATTGAGATTAAGGGATCTTTTCTTCTTGTCACAGTTAAGTGTATATATCTCACGACAATTAAGTCTATATATATATATATATAATACCTCTGATTACTGGGGTATAATTTAAATGTTTATTTTTATAATTTGTATGACTTAAACTATTGTTAATATTTGGAGAAATATAAATATTATACGAAAATTTGTAAGCTCCAGATTAAATTAAAATAACGGGTTTCTCCGGGTATCTCTTTGGGTCTGAGAACAGCTTAAGCAACGTTCTCATAACAACTCAATGACAACATATGTTGCCAAGTACGTCGGTGTGCTGACACTTCCCGATGACAAGGGATATTTTGATGTAAACAATCCAATGCACCAGTCTTTCAACAATCCAATGCACCAGTCTTTCACGCAGAGCATCTAATCCAAAAAGACAGCGAAACAGAACTGTGTATGACACCAATGATAACATATGATTATATTATATTCTTAGACATGTCTGGCTACATATTTCCAAATTATTGTCCGATGAAATAGCCACCCGGTCAGACGAAGCTGTTGGTTGGAGTTGGTATCATGCGACAACAGCAGCAGACATTCTTCTCCGCACATCTCGCCATTCCATTCACGCACACAAAAGCAGTTCACAAACAAAGCAAAATACCATAAACAAGATAAATGTCGCTGGAATAGGATGGGCGACTCTGAGACTACTCACACGTTCAAATGCAGAGTTTCACAGCCAACCTTTTCCAACAGAAGCATCCTGGCTGCAGTGATAATACTTCCCAAAGGGTGCCGCTACCTTCGGAAGAAGAGATACCAGGAAGGATGAGAATGGTAAAGTCTCTGATGGATCGCAATCATTTTGGCCCCTTCTTCCTGCTGAGGATCTCCTGTTCTTTCAGGCGTTGTTGAAATCTTGCCAGGCGGGCCTGAAGGCTGACCAGCCCTGCTGCTTTGCGAGAGAGAACAAAGCTTAACTGTGTCACATAGTTGTCAATAAGGCTGCCAGGTTGGTCCACTTCCGCCAATAAATTCATTTCCTACAAACGACCATACTGCCCCGAGTTAAGAGCAATAGAAGCATATCGAACTCTCCCATATATAACCCATCATCAAAAGGCGAGATGTTCAGAGAATAAGCAAAAAAGTTCAAAGTGGATATTTGTACTTTCTTATTTTGATGTCAGAACAAAAGTTTATATTCACTAGAAGAGAAATCATCGAGTCATTATGGACACTTCAGAAACTTCTAAAAGACAACTACTGATGCTACAAGGTGTATAAATTCTCAAAATCATAAAATGCTCCTCAAGTACTTCAGTCACATCAAAAGGTGATTCAGACTGTGTACAACAAATCATGCAGAGAGTTGTGGATTAATATAACATAAAAGCATAGCAATAAGGAACAAATCAAATTTAATCTCATAGACAATTGTAACCAGTTCAAACCACGATTCACTAAATCTGGCAAAGTTAAA